CACTGCACTCCAGGCTGGGTGACAGCGTGAGACCCCATCTCTGAAAAAAAAAAAAAAAAGAGTTGTTGGTTGGCTGGTTGTTTTAAGGTGGGAGAGATGTAAACTTATTTATATGGGGAAATAGCCTTTTCGGTGATATTGTGAATGGAATAACCTGACAAGCATGTCCTCAACACTATGCATCTGGAAGCGCTGCATAAAACCAAACAAACATCCTTTAAAATGTGCAGCTTAGTTGCAAGAAAGAAAGGGAAATCCCCATGAGGCATGAAGAGGAAATCAAACACTAGAGCTGTGAAAGCTGCTGGGTGGCTGTGATCTTGGCATTGAAGGGCCTAGGGCTTTACACCTACCTAGAGATTGGAGATGAGGCCTTGTCTGGGGAACTGAAAACATAGACACTAATAGAAACCTTGTACTCTTAAGGGGTGACATCCTTTTTTTTTTTTTTTTTTTTGAGACGGAGTCTCGCTCTGTCGCCCAGGCTGGAGTGCAGTGGCCGGATCTCAGCTCGCTGCAAGCTCCGCCTCCCGGGTTCCCGCCATTCTCCTGCCTCAGCCTCCCGAGTAGCTGGGACTACAGGCGCCCGCCAACTCACCCGGCTAGTTTTTTGTATTTTTTAGTAGAGACGGGGTTTCACCGTATTAGCCAGGATGGTCTCGATCTCCTGACCTCGTGATCCACCCGTCTCGGCCTCCCAAAGTGCTGGGATTACAGGCGTGAGCCACTGCGCCTGGCAGGGGTGACATCCTTGATGAAAGAGTAAACTAGGAAAAAAATCTGCCTCCAGTTCAGGAAGCATAAAAGGACCTTGTCTGTTTCACTCTGAGATTTGGTGACAATAAACAGTCTCTTTTGAGAATTCATAACCAAAGGCTTGGCCTCACTTGGATTTGGGGTTCAAGTTTACATCATCTGCATGGTCTGGGAAGCCCAAATGTCAACAAATAATATAGTCCAGGCCAGGTGCGGTGGCTCATGCCTATAATCCTAGCACTTTGGGAGGCTGAGGCGGGTGGGTCACCTGAGGTCAGGAGTTCAAGACCAGCCTGGCCAACATGGTGAAACTACATATCTACTAAAAATACAAAAATTTGCTGGGCATGTTGGCGGGCACCTGTAATCCCAGCTACTCAAGAGACTGAGGCAGGAGAATTGATTGACCCTGGGAGATGGAGGTTGCAGAGAGCTGAGATTATACCACTGCACTCCAGCCTAAGCAATAGAGCGAGACTCTGTCTCAAAAAAATTAAAAAATACATAATAATAAGAAGAATAATGCAGTCCACGGTTGGTAACTCCCATGAAGAGCTCTTGGCAGAAGCAGATATGAAACCTCTTCGAACCTTGGCGGGCATGTGCGTTCCCACTGATAACGCCCTGCTGAAGCTGAATTCACAGCTCAAAATTACAAAACATAAGAGGAAACAATCTTCATGAATGACAGTAAGCAGACACAGCATATAGCAGGATTAGCTCCGATTCCAAAACTCCAGAGAATAGCATTATTTGGTAAAGAACCATACAGCAAGTGTAGTTTAAATTTCTAAAGATATAAAAGAAGGCATCAATATGAGAAAGAAATAAGATGGTGTTAAAAATAAGTGGGATTCTGGTCAATGAATACGTCTAAAAAAAGTGACAGGAGAGGTTTAAAATAAAAAGAAGAAAGAATAAAACGAATGCATCTGTTAATCTATGAACTTATTCATTCCCTGTTCATTAGGCTCCTATTATGTTTTAGACCATGTTCTGGGTCTGGAAATATAAAGATGACTCTGTAGATAGCAAGTTAGAATCTGCCTCAGGAAGATCTCGTGCACAAATCCATGTATCGATGCATCCATTATCTATCCATCCACTCATCCATCCATCCATTTATCCATCCATCCACCCATCCATCCATTCATCCATCTATTTATCCATCCATCCATCCATCTATTCTTCCATCTATCTAGTCATCCATCCATTAATTAATTTATCCATCCATCCAACCATCTTTCATTTTACTCATTGTGGGGGAAAGAGAGATCAGACTGTTACTGTGTCTATGTAGAAAGAAGACATAAGAAACTCCATTTTGTTCTGTACTAGGAAAAATTCTTCTGCCTTGAGATGCTGTTAATCTGTAGCCCTAGCTCCAACCCTGTGCTCACAGACACATGTGCTGTGTTGACTCGAGATTTAACGGATTTAGGGCTGTGCAGGACATGCTTTGTTAAAAATGTGTTTGCAGGCAGTATGCTTGGTAAAAATCATTGCCATTCTCCTGTCTCAAGTACCCAAGCACACAATGCACTGCGGAAGGCCACAGGGACCTCTGCCCAAGAAAGCCTGGGTATTGTCCAAGGTTTCTCCCTACTGAGGCAGCCTGAGATATGGCCTCGTGGGAAGGGAAAGATCTGATTGTCCCCCAGCCTGACACCTGTAAAGGGTCTGTGCTGAGGAGAATTAGTGAAAGAGGAAGGCCTCTTTGCAGTTGAGATAAGAGGAAGGCATCTGTCTCCTGCTCGTTCCTGGGAATGGAATGTCTCCATGTAAGACCCGATTGTACATTCTATTTACTGAGATAGGAGAAAGTCGCCTTATGGCTGGAGGTGAGACATGCTGGCGGCAATACTGCTTTTTACTGCACTGAGATGTTTGTGTAAAGTCAAACGTAAATCTGGCCTATGTGCAAATCAAGGCACAGCACCTTTCCTTAAACTTGTTTATGGCACAGAGGCCTCTGCTCACGTGTTTTCCTGCTGACCCTCTCCCCACCATTACCCTATAGTCCTGCCATATCCCCCTCACCGAGATAGTAGAGATAGTGATCAATAAATACTAAGGGAACTCAGAGACCAGTGCCGGCGCGGGTCCTCCGTATGCTGAGCACCGGTCCCCTGGGCCCAATGTTCTCTCTCTATACTTTGTCTCTGTGTCTTATTTCTTTTCTCAGTCTCTTATCCCACCTGATGAGAAATATCCACAGGTATGGAGGGGCTGGCCCCCTTCACTCATCCTCAAATGTCACAGCTAGAAAAGTCCCAATAGAACATCTTGTTCAACTTTCAGCTCTCTTTTTGTACATGAAAAAAGCACATGAGGCCCCATAATACAAAACTCTCGTTTCTGGCCGGGCGCGGTGGCTCAAGCCTGTAATCCCAGCACTTTGGGAGGCCGAGA